TTTGCCTCATTTTCTATTCTCTCTTTTCTCTCTCCTGCTGGTTCTCTCTTTCACCCCTTTTACTTTGCTTTTTCTTTTTCTTTTTCAATCAAAACTTTAGGGCTTGATTTCCCCTTCAATACTTGGAATTTTTGGAAGCCGTTTGAGGTAATTCGAAGAGCTCGATGAGGACTTCACACTGATATGAACAATTTCTTGTTTGGCAAAGCTTGCAATTTCGAAAATTCTAGGGTATAAATTGGGGATTTTCATCTAACTTGAGGTAGGGGTTCCTAATCCATGTTTTCTTGTTCCTTTGTGAGTTTTTCCACTTTAATTATTGTCAAGCATGATTAATTTGATTTGATTATCTTACAAATGACCTAATTGTGTATTATGGAGCATATTGTCATACGTATTTGTTGAATTGTATGAAAAGCATGCTTAAATGTTGGTTTCCTATGTTCATTGTGTTGATAAATTGTTAGAGATGATAAATAAAGGCATAAGTAGATTTTCTTAGAATTTTTGTAACGTTTGCTTTATGGTGTTGAATGGAAATTCCTTATTGCCCTAATATTGCATACATGGGACATACATGCATATTATGGGGCATGAATGAAGGGAAGTGGTTTTGAACAAATGAAAAAGGATTTTGGGAAAAATGTTTTGGTTAAAGAGATTTTATAACAACCCGATCGCCGCAGAGTCACCAAAGGGGCGGTGTGTTAATGTAACCTAGAGGGAACTAGGGAGATTGCCCTAGCGTGGTTGAGCTATCTGGGCCCCAAATGACGTCGCGGAGGTACCAAGGGTCAGGGACAGTAGCTAATCCTTCTCTCGTGTAGCTGTGGAGTCACCAAAGGGCGGGTTATATTAATAATCTGTGAAGTGATGGATGTTTTTCTGAAAATGGGGAATGATATGCATGGCATTGCATTCATGACACGACATTTACTCGTTTTGAATTTGGAATTGATATTGTATTTTTTCCTAGTTTAGTATGATCCCGCTCCCTATTGTTCTATCCATTATTTGGATTCATGGGTTATGATAAGTGCTTAAATGTTGCACATTTCAGCACCTAAGCTAGGGTATTTCAGTCTTTGTATCTATCTTAAGTTTATGTTTTAGTCCTAATTTATGTTTATGTGTATTTCAGGGCAATAAAGTTAAAATGAGCTAAGAACGGTCCAATTAAGCCTTTTTGGAGTTAAGCAAAGATTTTCAGAAAATGGCACAAAGCGGTCAATCTCGGGCCTTTGATGATGTTCCCAAAGATGGCGAAGCAAACCAAATAGCCCGAGGCAAAAATGGAGCTGAATAAGGGATCGATCCCCCAGGACTTAGCAACATTGCATATTTTTATTTTAATGTTTGGGCTTATTTTGTAACCTAGTGGGCTTTAATAGGTTTATTACTTAAGCCCAATGAGGCCCATTGTTTTTAGGGTTAGTATTTATTAGTTTAGTGATTTATTATTTTAAGAATTAAGTTTTGATTATTATTTTTTTAATCTGTACCATGATATTACGTTCTCTCTGGGAAAGAGGAAAAGAGGGGGTTTGAAGAACATTTTTACAGAGGCTTTGTCTACAATTGAAGGAAGAAGAAGAAGGAGCCAAAAGATGGAGATGGAGCTTGTTGACACCATGATCATCTTCTCCATGAGCTAGTTCTTCACTTAGGCTTGGATGAGCCCTAAGTTCATGTAACCCTAACCTTTGTATTTCTTTTCTTGGGGAATTATTATGTTGTAATTAAATTGTATGGCCTTGCGATTTCTTAATATATACATGCTTGATTTGATAAATTAGGGTTTGTATTGATAAATTCTTCCATTGAAATCTCCAATTGATTGTATGTCTATGTATGATTAATTAGGGATTTTATTCTTCATTAGATGATTAGAATTTAATTCTTCCATTGATTCTATATGAAAATTGCATGTCTAGGTGTGATTGATTTAGAATTATACTCTACACTAGATACTTCTTTTAGTTGTGTTTAGTGATGGCCATAGCATGAGACTTAGTTGATACAATTGTCAATTAATTTGATGGATAAAGGCTTAATCATGATAGATTATTTTACAAATTAGCTTATTTGTCATTAGTTAATTGTAGTAAAGTAGGCAATCTGTGCCTGATTATTTTAATCCATGCTTCTAATTACAATTAGTATTATCTTCTTGATTGATGTGTGCTCTTATTGGATACATTTGTGAATGTGTATGGTGGGTTATGACGTAGTCTTGAATGGGTTCTACACTTTAGTTTAATTGTCATTAGGTAGACAATTCATTCTTGATGTTGATAATCTATGCTTACAATTGTGATTTGTGATGATAATGTGACCACATCTATAATTACACTAATAAATTCCCCATTAATTGAAAGCATATGGTTAATTGCATGGGCTTAGTGGTGAATCCTAACCCTAAGACTCTCTTCCTATCTCTTTAATTCTTAGTTTAATGTCATTTCTATTTTCATGCTTTTAATTGAATTTTAGTTTAGTCACTCCACCAAAATATTTTTCTCTCACACTCTTTCTCTCTCTCTCTCTTCTCTCTTTTACAATCTAATTAGCATTAAAATCAAGTTTAGTCCCAACACGTGTTCAATCCCTTGGGTTCAATTCCTTCTCACTTCATACTACATAGTATAAGTGTCTAGCGGTTTACAAATGTAAACTATGATGCCCGCTTGATACCATTTCCAAAACCAAAGTGTTGTGCATTATTTTGTGCACACGCTCGGGTCGCATCAGGTTACAAGAAGTGTGTCTTAGGCATCACCTACTGAGCAACTGCTTACCCCTTTTTATTTAATATTTTTTAGGACACAGAAAATAAATAGCGGACAACAATCCACCTTTGCCTTAGCTTGGAGTAGAAAAACGTTTCTTTTTGCTATCTTTTGTAATTGGGCCTAATTTTGTAAAGTGTTGACTTAAACTGTATTATTTTGTAACATGTGATGTATTTAGGTCCATTTTGGGAAATGTAATTAAGTTTTAATCACACTAAATCCTTTAGTGTATTTTTTTAAAAATTACATTATCAATGTGGTTGTTGTTATTGTATTAGGTGTTGAAATGTATTTAAATATGTATGTGAGTGTAGTGATGTGGGTGGTTAGTTACCAAAGTTGGTGTATTTCGGTTTTGACAGTGGCATTTTGGGTGAGGATAACCTAACCGGTCGACGTGAAATCCCATACGTCGACCAGATGACCTTAACCACTCGACGTGAACTTCCCCACACATCGATCGGTAACTTGGTAGTGGACTTTTTCACTGCACACGTCTCTAACCAGTCGACGTGAACTTCCCCACACGTCGACCGGTATCCTGGCAGTGAACAATATCACTGTGCATGACCCAAACCAGTTTACGTGTAATGAATACATGTTGACTGGTTCCTGTTCCATATATTTTTCATTCAGTTTCCCTAATTACTCTTTAGCACCTAATTAACGTTGTGAGTATTTATCTTATGACCTAATTAAAATACAATAATTATATTTTAACCATAAAAAAGACTACATTGTCCCGAACTTTATTTTATTTATGATGTAATACGAGTAAATGACATTTATGTCCTTTGAGTCTCAAACCATTTGAATTTGTGGCAAATTACCATCTTGTCCTTTTTGGACTTTAATTTATAAAATTTAACTTGAAAGGACCGAATTACCCTTGGATGATTTTGGGTCAGGCAACGACCCATTTAATGATCCGGATCCAGTGAATTTGGGTTGTTACATTATATAATCTCTCTTTTATTCAACATTGAGGTACGGCTTTTTGGAACACAATTTTATTATTTTGAGAGAGCCTTTTTGAGAGAGATTTTTCAGAAAATCAAATCTGACTTTTCTATTTTTTGTTTTGTTTTGAGAGCACACACATATATACAAGAGCGATTTAGTAGTGTTGTTCTCTGTCTCATCGGAATTGAAGCATAATTGAAGATTCAGAAATTCTGAAAAAGCAGATCTATTCTTCTATATTACATTCAGATTCAAATAAGAAGAATTTTTCAGATCACACTTTAAAGGGGTCAAGGTGTTTTGCGAAGTATTATTGATCTACTAGCAATCCTTCGACAAGGTTTGAGGCATAAGTATAAAGTCGAGAACTGTTGAACGGGAAGTTGCAAAATCAGAGACATTCAATAGATTAAGTGTTGATAGAACGAAGGGGTTTGAGCCTGAGTCAAAGTTTATTGTATTTTGCTTTATACATAGTGAATCTTTTTATGCTCGGGACAATGCAAAAATCCTCGAAATTTTCTAATTAGTTTCCTCGCTAAAATCTTAGTGTCATCTCTCTAACTTTTACTTGCTTTACTTTTCGATATTTATATATGCGATTGTGGATGTTTAATTGATCATATTCTTGGGTAAATTAATCAATCACAAAGATTGGGCAAGTTGACCTAATAATCTCATCTAGGTCATTTAGGAATTTAATCACAACTAAATCAACTAACAGCTTTCACACCGCGTAATTCACATTTATTACTGTGATGAGAGGCTTCAAATTGCTGGAAGGAAATCATTACGAGGATAGAGCATACAAAGCAGAAAATGTACCCGATCTTGCTATGCACCACTTCCATCTTGGTGTAGAGAGCACCGTACATGAAATTCAGCTCAACTTCCATTACTCCAAAACCGTCTTCACAAGTCCTGTTAATGAAAAATTGTTGAATTTCAGGATGGATTTTGGTATCGCGCCTGCCCTCAAAGATTATTCTCGCATGGAGAGTTTGAAGTATGTGTAGCCAAGTTTCACTACCTCCAAGTCGCTGATATGCTCTCCCTTGAAAGTTTCCAAATGTATAACGTCATTGTACTTAAATTATTCGCTATCTGATACCACAGTCACTTGAAACAAAACCAACAAAGCCTAACCAAAGGATCAACTATTTGAAGAGCTTGATTCTTACAGCCTCTATGATCAAATAATGCTGATATTCATAGGGAAAATCATGACATTGCCAACAACCAGGCAGATGTTAGTAAAGCCTCACATTGAACATATCCACTCGTTGATCCGGTACGAAAAAAATATAGAGAAAATCATGATAAACCTGGAGTTTTACTGCAAAATGAATTCTTCTAAAATCATTACACAAACCTCTACTATCGTTTGAGAAATTAATCAAATTGTTAAACATCTAAATTTCCAGTATAGCAAACCCTGGAAAACTTTAAGGGAGTCTAAATAATAATAGCTCCAAACCGCAAAATCAACCATTACATATACGATTAACTTGCAGCAGCTAACACTGCTCCCCACAAATAATGTTACCCGAGAAGATGTGCAAAACTGATTCTTTGTTCTGCATCAATATGCAAAATTCAACCCAAAAGCCAAGTTGAATGCTGCAATGAGCATAAGCACAACTGAAATAGAGTGTTTATCCCCTATTCTCCTACTGCCAACCCAAATACGAACTTGCAATCTTTCTTACAATGATCTATCTGCAACATATAACGTTGGAAGTTAGTAAGAATAAGGTCACGGTGTGGAAACTAGTAAAAGAACGTCAAGCACATGTTAGTTCTCACCTTTGCAGAAAGAATGAAATTAAGACCCATATTTAATTGCTCTTCCAGGAAAGCAGACGTGCAGCCATTGGAATCGACCTTCCCTCTAAGGCGACACTGAATATACATAACAGCAAATCAACCACAATGATAATTACTTGAAATTCTACTTTTTGCAGCAAAAACATCAAACTCAGTACGAAAATCTAGCATAATATCATCTGCGAAGTAGACTTGGGAATTTCATAGCAACAAAACCTTCAAAAGACTTGACAAGAAGGAATAACATTGGCCACTTTTCTGCTAGTATTTCTAAGAGGTAAAGAATCATATTAACTGTTAACATTCATAATGACAAAAACTACAATAATATGATCGACATCAAGAACAAGATTAATAAACAAACCAGATAAGAAATTAATTTACTGCTAATTGTCTCAATCTTCCTAGATAAAAACACTTCGTAGCCTAAATACTCAGATTTTGTTTTAAAACAAAACAACAAAGCATAGTTTACTATCATACTTCAAATTTTTCTTTAGCTATCGGTAGTGGGGGCAAAACTCCCCACCCTGACCGGGCCTGCCCCGTTCGGGGAATCAATTATGTAAATGGGGACGGAGATGGGGGGCTGCTTTGAAAAACCCGGCGGGTTTTGGGGCGGTTGTGGGAGTGAAAAAATTAAACAGGGATGGGGATGGGGAATGAGATCCCCGCCCACCACCCCAAACCTCCCCATTGCCATCCCTAGTTATTGGAAGCATAGAATAGTTCATCAGGTTTGCCAATAAAAGTGTTAATGATCAAGCCACGGCACATACAAAGATGACATGCAATAGTTAGCATAGTTTTTACTCCAAGAGCTATTAACTTTTCTAAAACTAACAGTATATTTCTTATAGAACACTTCAAAGACTGAAGAGCCATCTTTTAAATGATTCACTGTTCACAAGACAACATCAACCAATATATAGGTCCTAAAAATACATAAATTACCTCAAAATAGAAGTCATTTGTAGGTAGATCCGGAATTCCGTGCTTACAATTACTCTGCGGTTACAGTTGCTAAATGGACAAATGCTAGAAGTCTAGAACCTGGGGCAAAGTTGGTTATTGGCCAATGTAAAAAGGCACTGGTTGGACCTGAACGAATATCACCTAGCATTTGAATGCCTGCCCCAAACAGGACTAATCGGGACATATTCAAAACACATTGGTAGTGCTCCTAGATCATAATCAAAATAATGAATCCCTACTCATCATCATCAAGGTTGGAGATCTTGTTTGGGCGAGTTTGATCTAGCCAATCTCAAGCTCAGCTAGCTATAGTTCAACAAAAACAGGGCTCGACTTGAGTTCTTTTTTTCCTTTTCTTTTTCCAAATCTAAGAATGCTGTATATACATATACTTTATTTATGATATCTATAGAATTATGCTAACATATAGATACATCATACATTAATCTCTCCCGGTGGAGAGGGAATAGAATTCCAAGCAAAGGTTGCAGTGTTGGGAGACAGAAGGGCGGGTGGGTACCCAAGAAAAATGGACCATTTAGCTCAAGCATCAAACTTGATGAACTAGCCTTTAAATAAGTCTAATTTGGTCTTTTACTAAACAAGCCTTAAAAATCCGTCATACCAACTCCGCCCCTATTCCGAGACGGGTTTGTAAGGTCTAGCCAAACCTGCCCCACAACTCCGGCCCATTGCCATCCCTACTCATCAAGGTTGGAGATCTTGTTTGGGCGAGTTTGATCTAGCCAATCTCAAGCTCACCTAACTATAGTTCAACAAAATTAGGGCTCGACTTGAATTATTTTTTTTCCTTTTCTTTTTCCAAATCTAAGAATGCTGTATAGTGCATATACATATATTTTATTTATGATATCTATATAATTATGCTAACATATAGATACATTAATCTCTCCCAGTGGAGAGGGAATAGAATTCCAAGCAAAGGTTGCAGTGTTGAGTGACAGAAGGGCAGGTGGGTACCCAAGAAAAATGGACCATTTGGCTCAAGCACCAAACTTGATGAAATAGCCTTTAAATAAGTCCAACTCGGTCTTTTACTAAACAAGCCTTAAAAATGAGCTTGAGCCCAATTCATTTACTCAATGAACTAACAAGAACAGAGCACCACTTTGTTCACAAACAATTCAATTCATTTGCAGTCCTATAAGGCTATAAAGTATTACGAAATAGCATGTCTTAGTCTCTTAGATAATTTTGCTTTAACAGAAGAATAAACATATACGATATTTATTTTTGGGGAAATTTGAATGTAAATGCTAGTAGAATAACAGCATAAATTTGAATGAACATAGTAGCCATCAAAACCACCTATTTTTTTCAATTAGACAACATAATTGCAATGTGGCATATATTCATTAACATTGCCAAATTCAGCAATCAATAATTTTTACAAGGCCAAACAAAAGAAAAAAATACAATCGAAGGCTAAGTCTGCAAATAAAGTGAACTATTTGTGAATAACTCAGGGCTCCTCTTAGAGAGCTAAGTTTGTGTTCATTTATCAAGTAAATGAGCCAAATTGAGCCAACTTTTTAGGCTCATCAACAAACCAAGCCCAAATATTGTCAGGCTTGGCTCGCACAATCTTATGAAAAGACATAAAAGCTAGGCTCACTAAACCCAAATTTGTTTCATCGATAGGACTCGTAAGTTTTATTTCTAATAAACACCCAATCAGGCAAAACTTTGATTCATGTAGCCATACTTTATTTCATTGTAGGTTCATTAAGCCCAATTTTCAGCAAAACCCGAACTGCTCATAGTACACCCTCAAATCTAAACAAACCTGAAGATTTTCCTTATATCAAAACAGTCCTTAGAATATAAAATCATTATCCATAATCTTCTAATCCTTTTCTATCATCTCACAAATTATAACTCTATCTTTAATCTCTCCAGTTTTTTCTAGTTACGATAAGCCTATGATCATTGAAGATCAGTCTCGGTCCCATTTCTCTTGTCCAAACTTACAACTCTCTCTAATCTCTTTTGTTTAACCGAAGTGTCTTTTTCAATAGAAGAAGCAAAGGGAAGCTCTCTCACCTAGGACATAGCATATAAAATGAGGCCAGATTTAGGTGTGTATATCTATTACTGTATCTCTCATGTATGTATATATATTATTTCTTACTCTGTATGTTACTGTATCTTTTTTCAAAAATAGTTAACTATAGAATATAAATGTATAACATCACTATGTATCTATAAATTTGAAAAAGAAAATAAGAGAACAAGCTCAAGTTGCCATGCTGCCCAAGCACAAGCTTTGGTGAACAATGACAACCAAACGATTCAAACCTGAGATTTGATAGGTCAAGCTCATTCGAACACAATCCGAGCTCGATAACCTCTCCAACCTTAATGAGCCGAGCACAAACATTTCACCCGAGAGTTTGGCTAAGGTTAGTAGAACAGATTTTGGCTCAGCTTCAACCTAGGATGTAAGCCAACCGAACTACCTTGCGTGCCCCTTCCCCAGCAGAAAAAGAAAACTCTTGAAGAAAGCTATTTGATAAAACTGTAGAGATCGGCTCAGCTCAGTTCATTTGTTGTCCTACCAAAGGCATTTTGGCTAGCATCCACTTTTCTTCTAACATTACGCTAGACACGAGAATCAAAAGATAATGATCAATGTCGTTCTTGTGTTTTTCTTCCCTTGTTTATTACCATCTGCTGCAGCTAGTGGAGCTTCGGTGCACTTATTGTTCGTCCATTTAAATTATTCTTTGTTCTCTCATCAGTAAATGTTTCTTACAAGGAAAATTTAAATAACTAAATAAGAGTTTCTATTGGAACAAGAAGGTGAAACATTGAAAACCATCGATATCAAGAAATGTGTAAATCGGAAGCAGGCACTCATTGTTCACCATGTAGCTACTCAAAAGAATAGAGAAAGATTTGGTTCGCCAAAGAACACAATGGCATGTTGCACAAGAAATAGGATTAAGCCTTCAAAGGTGAAGTATTGAAAACCATCGATATCAAGAAATGTGTAAATCGGAAGCAGACCCTCATTGTTAACCATGTAGCTACTCAAAAGAATAGAGAAAGATTTGGTTGGCAAAAGAACACAATGGCATGTTGCATAAGAAATAGGATTAAGCCTTCAAAGGTGAAGCATTGAAAACCATCAATATCAAGAAACGTGAAAATCAGAAGCAGACCCTCATTGTTCACCATGTATGTACTCAAAAGAATAGAGGAAGATTTGGTTGGCAAAAGAACACAATGGCATGTTGCACAAGAAATAGGATTTAACCTTCAAATAAGCGTACAAGTGGAAAAACAGAAAGACTCAATTAGAGAGAGAGAGACTCTATTATAATTCTTCAAGACAAGATTTCAACAAATTTGGTACAAAATTAACTACTCGCAATTTGGTGGTATTCAAAGAGATTTTTAGCTCACTTAGATGGTGACATCCTCTAACAGCACTGAGGTGACAGTTATTGGATAACCATTTCCACAGTAAGGGAAGAAATGTTATTAACATGCGATACATTTCATAGACTGATAGGCTATAAAAACAAATTGTTGGAATTGGCAGGCTTGTTGGCCCAGTTTTTGTATATTGTACGCATACTTGAGTGAAATAAATCATATGTCATGGATTAACAATCAAGAATGTTAACTAATAATCAAACATACAACAATCGTGAACAAGAGAATATGCAAATATTTATGTCATGGATATCAAAAAAATTCAATTGCAGGAGTTACCTGTCGAAGGATGTAATCATAACCAAAGCTTGCTGTGACGTCTCTTGACATGTAGTTGTACATGAAGTCTGCTGCCAGAGAAACCAACATGGATGAATAGTGTAAGAAATCTGTTTAAATAACAAACCAATAAGGGCCTGTTGGTTATATGTTTTACTTTGGTGTTTTTGTTGCAGGGCTTCATTTCAGGCCCAAAAACAAGTTTGGTAGCACTTGTTTTGTTTTAAACAGTACTAAAACATTGTTTTAAATAGTAGTAAATTTGAAACACCAAAATGGTGTTTTTTGTTGTTTCAATACTGTAGCCCAATAAAAAGCACTGTAGCGGGAGAAGTAAGTTGGGTCTAACACTGTAGCGGAGGAAGTAACTTACATGGTAGTTTGCAACATTTGGCCCGATGTTTTCTCTCTCCTCTGAAACCCTAGAGAAGGCGATTTGGGAGGCGACTGCGATATATTGTGAGTACTCTCTCTCTCTTCTATTTCTCTCCTTTGATGTTGCTTTACTTCCGAAAAACCTCTTTCTTCTTTCTCTGATTCCTGTTGGTTCATCTTCCCTTTCCTTCTCTCTCTCTAAATTTTTTCACGTTCCTACTCTTCGATAAGAATAGGGTTTTGAAATATACAAATTCCTCCTCATTCTGTTGTGATCAGCGAAGGAGCTGCCTAAGCCTACCACGAATTGGTCGATGCTTTGAAACGTCACTGGTTAGCGTTCTTACTACTAATTTCTTAATTTATCTTCTTCTTCTTCTTCTTCTTCTTCTTCTTCTTTTTATTTATTTTATTATTATTTTTTTTAAGTTACATGATTACACACTTAGGTCACACAAATTGTATCTTCAAACAACTTTTCTAGTTTTTAATTAAATTATTGGTTTTTATTTATTTTTATTAAAGTAATACAGTGGGTTCTGCTATTATGAGCTTTGATAGCAAGAAAGGCAATACAGTGGGCTGTTCAATTGCAGCTCCACACGAGTAATTGAAGGGGATTGTGTTTCTTTTTCTGATTTTTCTTCTTGCCTTGAGTCTATTGCTGTGATTGAAGAGGATATTAGATTCCTCATACATTAGCATCCTCAACTCATCTGAGTGTAAAATTGGTGAGGCGTGAGACCAATAAAGTTGCTAATTTTTTGGGCCATATGTTTCCAACTGATGTGTTAGAAATTGCAGCTTCTGATTGTATCTTTGTTTGAACATAACAATGAATGTTGTTTTGCTTTGGAAAAAGAAAAATTAAAAATTAAAAATTAAAAATTAAGAATATGTACGTATATATATATATATATATATATATATATATATATATATATATATATGAAAATTCTATTTGTTACTTACTGAAAAAAGAAAAAAAAAAATTTCTATTTGTTTCAAACAAAATGCATGAAATAGAAAGTTGAGAAATATTCATCATACCTTGATTGACCATATATGCAACCTTCATTTCCTTAGAAAAAATAAAGGCAGGGTTTCTTAGTGAAGAAAAAGTCCTAAAACTGATTTAATCTGGAAAGCAGGGAAAAATTGAAGCAAGTGTGATTAATGCTTTACCTGCTTTTAACTTCATAATAAAATGGCAGAGGCTGTTCATATTTTAGAAACAATACTTGAGCTGCTTTTAAAACATCATGAGACAGTTTAGTCCATATCTAGTGTGGGTGTGTTAGAGAATAGAGGAAGAACCAATTTGTAGTATGAGAGGACTGTGATGAATGGACCTTCTGTGTAGCATTTATCATGCCATGCCCACTGTAAACTTTAGGTAGCCAAGTGCAGTTGTTGACTGCATCTTAGGGAACTTGTTGAACAAAATGTCGTGTCTTTGGAAATAGTGCATACTAATAAGAATTTGGCTGATATTCTCACTAAACCATTAGATGCTTCTAAGTTTTCTCATTTTAGGAAATCTATTGGTGTCTGTTGTCTTGATTAGATGCATTGCAAAGACATATTCTAGAAAGGATTTTCATGCATATCTTGAGTATCTAGATTATGTTTTTGGGAAGTTGAGCAAATCATATTGATCGAGTATGTTGAACACAAGGAGTTTCATGACAAATGGATGATATGTGTAAAACATACTATGGCTATGATTTGATGAAAATTGGTTTCGCTTACTTATTTCGTATAGTAAATGAATCATTGATAATACATTTACTTGTGTTTGATGTCATTGTTTTGGTCAAAGATAATGTTGATACGATTGATCATTGTCTTGGAACTTAAACTTTCTATGTATGTTTTAGACCAAAAGAGTAAAAAATAAAATAAAATAAAATAAAATAAAAAAGGTTTGGAATGAAAATATTTTGAAAAAGAAAGAAAAATATTTGTTGTCTTAAAAAAGGTGAGATGGAAAAGGCTACCTTTGTTGTCCGAAGATAAAAAAAACAGTTTGGAATGAAAAGATTTTGAAAAAGAAAGAAAAATATTTGTTGTCCGAAGCTACCTTGACTCGAAACAAATGGGAATAAGGGAAAGAGCTGGCTGCCCATAAGAGTGAAAACAGCCAATGAGCAAAAAGAAAAATGAAGCACAAAGAGAGAAATAAAATAAAAATAAAAATTGTCTTTTGCACATGTTGATTGTTTGATTTCTAAGGATATGTGATATCATTGATTTATTATCTAAAATTAGAACAGTTGACAGATCATATGTTTTTGGAATTTGGTGGTGATTTTACTACACTTATTAAGTTTGTGGAACATAAAAGAATTGATCTTGGTTATTTGTGTTAATACATATAATCTTGTGGAGTTTACATTCTCATTGGTTTCAATTTACAAGATTTATATGGTTGGTTGCTTCCTATTTCTATGATTTTTCTTCTTTGAGACCCTTGTTAATTTGTGACAAAAAGGGGGAGAGATATTTTTTTGCATTAAGGGGGAGAAATATTGATCATTGCATTCATATTGCGTTGATATTCAGGCATTATTAGCTTTGCTACTTTATGCTTGTGTTTATTTTCTTGATTAAACTTCACAGTAGTTGTGTTTAAGCTAATGTGCAGATTACAAGTTGCTATAAGTGTTGAAGCTTCATGAGGTTCAAGAAAAATTTCCGCGATTTATTTCCTTTTAACAATCATTGTAATTTACTTTCCTGCTTGGGTAGATTGCTGAATTGTTTTAAAGGTTGCTTCATGAGGTTCAAGAAAAATTTCCGCGATTTATTTCTTTTTTTTTTTTTTTTTTTTTTTGATAAGTAATAATAATATAAAAAAAAGGCATTCAAAAGGGGAACGCGTCCCTATTACAAAAATGGATCCAGGACTAAGGCCCCAAAGAATCCAAGAAAATAATTAAATCATCAAAAGAAGAGTAAGAACTCTTCTTCACATAATTGAAAAGAGAATGAAGAATGTGATGTTTCACCATTGCCGTAGACCACTCTTTATCTTCAAACATTCTACTATTTCTCTCTTTCCAAATACACCACCAGACACAATGTGGGATAACTCTCCAGAAATCGTGTACATCCCTGCTCACGCGACAACCTCTCCAAACATGAATCAATTCCTTAGTAGATCGTGGCATTACCCAACACATGCCAAATAGCCCAAAAATAAGATTCCAACAGTCATATGCCACAAGGCAATGCATAAGGAGGTGGTCAACAGACTCCCCATTATTCTTGCATAGACAACACCGATTAACAATACAATTGCCCCTTTTCTTTAAATTATCAACTGTCAAAATCTTTCCCCAAACAGCGGTCCAAACAAAGAAAGTCACCCTAGTTGGAGCCATGGATCGCCAAAAAGTTTTCCACTGGAAAACATAATTAACAAAATGAGACAGACATAAAAACAAAGACTTTACTTCGAAACGACCGTGGGAAGAAAGAACCCAAATCAAATCATCATTACCTTAGCCAACACCCTCCTGCCGATACAGAAGATCCAAAAAAACACAAACCTTATCGATCTCCCAATCCTGAAAAGAGCGCCGAAAGTGTACATCCCACGTAATCCCACTGCTATCAAGACGATAACAATCAGCTACAAAGGCATGTTTATCGACTACAATACCAAATAATCTAGGAAATGAACGAGATAGTGGTTGATCACCACACCAAAGATCTTCCTAAAACCGAACGCGACGTCCATCATGAACTTTGATCTGATATTAGCAGAAAAGGCATCCCAACCCTTCCGAATAGACCGCGATTTATTTCCTTTAACATTCATTGTAATTTACTTTCCTGCTTGGGTAGATTGCCGATTTGTTTTTAGGGTTTTGTCACGAAATTGCCAAAGGGGAAGATTGTGAGATATATATTTTGTAATTAGCTAATTTCGTTGTCAAAACAAGTCCGATCGAGTTGTAATTTTTCGGTTCAAAATTTCAAAAATTGAAGATCGGATGCGGATTTGAAGAAGTTCAAGTATTCATGATATACTACACTCCGAAATGATGAGAACAATGCTTTAAGAAGTTTTGAGAGGTAGTGAGAACATTTAGAAAGGGTTTTGGAAGCTTTTAAGGAATAATTTATATTATGTCCATCTTGAACTGGTTCAACGAGGCTGAACTGGTTCAACATCAGCAGACCTTCAAGACCGGCCATCTTGAATCGGTTCAATGGGGCTGAACTGGTTCAAGAATCCGAGGGATTCTTTGCTGGTGGTCATCTTGAACCGGTTCAAGGGGGCTGAATCAGTTCAAGAAGTCCTAGTAGTATTCCAATTTCAGTTTCCTTCTTTTGATTGTTTCCTTTTTTTTTTTTTATCCTAACTTCTTTCCAAGTCCTATGCACGAAATTTTTCATATTTTCTAAGGGATTAGGACTTTATAAACTCTATATAAACCTTGTTAGTCTTCTAGGTTTATTTATAGCTTTAGGGAAAATCAATTCTATATTTTGAGAAAGCCTTTTAGAAAGAGAAAATTCATAAAATCAAATCTGATTGTTCTGAATTTATTTATGAGAGCACCCGCACATATTCATGAGTGATTTAGTAGTGTTGTTCTCTATATCATCGAAATTGGAGCTATATTGAAGATTCAGAGATTCCGAATAAAAAGCAGGATTTAATTCTTCTACATCGAGTTCAGATCTTGAAGAACAAAAGTAAAAGTGATCATACTTTGAAAGGGTTGGAGCATTCGAGGTGTGTTGTTTGATCTACCTGCTACTCTTCTATAGAGATCAAGCATAAGCCTGAGGTCAAGTTGCTGTTAGACGAGGAGTCGCAAAGCCAGAGGATTGTCAGCAATTGGTGTTTGGTAGAACGATAGAGTGTGAGCCAGAGTCAAAGTTCAGTGTACTTTGTTTCAAACATAGTGGATCGGTTTACTTTGGACTGCACAGTCCACAAGGTTTTCCCACGCAAACAGTTGACGTATTTTATCAACTGGGGTTTTCTCGCTAAAAATCCTGGTGCAATCTCTTTAACCCTAACTTGCTTTACTTTTAAGTATTTATATTTATGATTGTGAATGTTTAAATTGATCATATAATTTAATCAATTGTAAATTGAGCAAGTTGACCTAATAATCAGATCTAGGGCATTAAAGGAGCTAATCACAATTAAAATCAACTAATAGCTTCCGCACCCCGCTTTAACACTATTTTCACACAGATATCTAATATGTCTTCTTTTTCAATCTTGAAAATACATAAGAAGCTTCAAAGGTGCATCCAAGCGCACCTAGGATATTTAGGATTGAAGAATTTCTTTTAGGTCAGTAGAGAGTTGAGTTGTGGATTCACTCATTTACAGTCGCCTCATGTAAAATCGTCACTAGGATTAACACAAAAGGCCATACTCATAATACTTCCAAACAACATCAAACTACTCATCCCTCTTGCTTAATTATATGCTTAAGCATAGCTAAAAGAATAACCCCCTTCATGTTTCAAGCTCAATATGCAACACAACAGCTCATTTCAAAGAATTCCACATACTTAACCTAAAATGAGTGATACAATGCTCAATTTGGTTGCCGAGAAACCACACAAAAGTAAAATAAATTAAATTTTCAATCTTACAATTCCTGATAAATAATTTAGACATTCACATACTGAAAATAAAGACAAAAACAATAAGAAAAGAAAAAAATATTACATCTTTGGTGTCAAAGCCAAGATGACGAATAGCAATTCTGATAATCTGAACATTACCAGCCCCGTAATCAAGAAGAGTCACCACTGCAATTAAGAAAAAATACAAACAGTAAATGTTTGATCAAATGGCATGTATACAAATACAAGTAAATATATTCATATATACATATACAAATATACATATATTACAGAGAGTGTGTACCAGAATCATCGGCTCCAGCAAAGGAGGCGCGAACTGAGAATCTTGAAGAGGATTTGAATTTGAAAGCCTTTTTATCGAACTCGAAACACCTGAACTGTAGAGAATTGGTACCGGACGAGAAGGACGATGAAGATCAAACAGTCAGGAACTGTGCATAACAAAATGTAGGCGTCTCCATTTGCTCTTTATCTTCCTTCCGCTAGGGTTACATTGATGTCAATTACTGGCTACTGGCGCTATTTGCTAGGGTTAAATGTAGGCTCTGCGTAAGACGAAACCCAAAAAAAAAATGGTACAATCGTTTAAGGCCCGTTTTGTAGCAACCCACTATTATGATCATGTATTGTGGGCTGTCCAACTAAATCAGTATGGACTGACCCAAAGTTTAAACTCAATTACATTATACATATAATAAATAAATAAATAAAGTAATGTTCATTTACCAAGAATTGTCCTTACAATTCCCTCTAATTGAGTATAGATTATTAATACAGGAGCAACTAATCAAATGTGTTCTACTTTATCTTTATTTTCCTCTTATAAATCATGTCCAACTTCAATCTTTTGTTCAATTTACGGATGGGTTGAATGCACCTATCACGCATATTAGAATTGTTTATTGTTCATCTTTCATCCACTATTTAACTTGATAACGTTTTCTTCATCCTATCATTCAAGTTTCACTTAAGATCTCATGGCCATAGAATCGCCCCAGAAACTGTTTGAATCTCACAAAACTTAACTTAAGATAAAATATTGATGAACTCGAAGGAGCAAAGGAAGAACTATTACTTGAATTACTTGGGTCTCCTCACCATGACCAATGTGTGATCATAGTGCAAGAGTCATACAATTGCTACATTGAGGCTCTTTGCATACAACCAACTTTTGTTATTGCATGGTCCAATCTTTGCTAGCCTTTTCATGGAGACAGGTGATCCAAACAGGGCTCTTCAAGCAGTTAAGCACAAACCGACATTTTTAGATGCCTTATTGAACATAGGAAAGGTGTGCAAGGCTTTGGGAATGTCACAAGTGAGGAAAAAAAAAAAAAAAACTTGTTTAAGCCGAAGGAATGGTACACCTCACTAACAGTAGTGGTGGGACTTACTGGTGAGGTCCACTTTTTTTGTGAGTGAGGTGCACCATATCTTCGGCGCACACACTATTGTGAATAAGGTGCATCATATCTCTGGTTTAAACAAGTTTTTCTCCTCAAGTAGCTATAGTGTGTCATCATCTCCACATTGAGTGATAATTTTGTCCTAACTATAATGACTACGTTAAGGCTTCATTTGGTTAGATAGAAATAATAAGAAAATGAAAATAAATGAAAATTATGTAAATTACATGGACCTCCCCTATGGTTTGCCATAATTACATGGACCTCCACTAAAAATAAAACTAACCTACACGAACCTCCCCTCGTAGTGATGAACCATCAAATATATGGGCTAACAGACCTATCTAATTTATTGAAATGTCCTCAATTTGTTATGGTAATTGACTGAACTACCCATTTGCATTTAGATATATATGTATGTATATATACAAACATTTTGATGGGGGTTTTTAGAGAGAGAGAGATTAACAGTGGAGAAAGCTTCAGTTCTGGTAAACTTTAACACGATGAACTTCAACCTTTAGGTGGGTTTCAGTGCGTGTGCTTCTTATTTTCGGTGAACTTTGTTTCAGTGGGTGTGCTTCTTATTTTTGGGGGTGTTCTTTTATGGGTGTGCTTCATATTTTTTTTGTTCTGGTGAGTTTGCTTCAAAGACCCAATTAATCACTGGAGCTACTTTCTCCAAAAAGGAATGTGAAAAATACCTCATCAAATTGGGAATTCCAGCAACATGTCAGATTCCGGCAATTGGGTGTTGTTTTTCTTTGTTGTGGGTACCATCTAGCTCGTCCACCATCATCGCCACCATCGTTGGATCACCACGTCTACCATTTTAGCCACCGCAATCACTGCATCTTGTTCAGCCTCACCCGCATCGAAACTCTCGACAATGACGTTTTCCGAAGACGTCGTGAAGGAATCAAGTCTCGCTGCCTCTGTTTTGATCAGGACTTTGTACAAATTTTTTTTTTTTTTTTTCGAGATTCACTAGTGCATGTAGATCGTGGAAGACATTGATTCTTGCTTATTGTTTGATCTATTGAATCCGGAACAACTGTATAACTGTTTTTTTTATATAAAATTTCCATTCCTCTCCTCTCTTTCTACTCTGTAAATCACACCACCACCACCATCTTTTCCGGCAGATGCAGAGCTACTGAGGGCTAACCTGGGCTATAGCCCAAGTCCAAAAATAATAATAATTAGTACAATTATACATCAGTTCACAGCCCGGTCCATATGCAATACTACTCTTCCTCTTAGCCCGGTCCATATGCAATACTACTCTTCCTTTTAGCCTAGTCCACTTTGCAATTCTAGCTCTGCCCCTGTTTTTCGGTGAGAAATTCCAACGAACCACCACCACCCTTTTTGTCCGTCTTCTCTCACATATTGCTTTCTTTCTCTATATTCAGTGCAAGTTTCCTCTCTGATTGAGGTTCTTGTACTATTATACTCAAGGAAACTTTGAAATTTTTAAGATTAGAATATATATACACAAACACTAATATATGCAATCCATTTCTTTGACACAGGTTATATATATAAACTGTTCTGAAGCACCCAAATTTGATGCTACCAAAATCTGTTCCTACCAAAAATTGATATGTGATGCTTGTATGGTTATACATACTCAAGAGGTAAAATGTTTGTAGGTTGATAGGAGGTGGTGGTGGTGGTTATTGGCCAGGTGAATAATAAATTCATCATTGACTCGCGCTGACTGATATATAAGGGAGATCCATGTAGGTTAGTTTCATTTTTAGGGAAGATCCATGTAGGTTAGTTTCATTTTTAGGGGAGGTATATGTAATTTTGCAAACCATGGGGGAAGTCCGTGTAATTATGGAAAATATAGGGGAGGTCCGTGTAATTTACCCATGAAAATTTTCTGAACGCTTTACATAACCATCTGACTTTTTCATAAAATTTATCAACAAAAATCACACAAAATTTTTTATTTCCTACATAAAAATTTAAGAACTTATAATGATGTCCTTTTTTTTTAATGACAAGTTTCATTCTATTCAAATTATAAAATAGTAACTTCGATTATTTTGTTGAAAATTTTCATGCTAGCTAGTCAAATACAGAATGAAAAATTATATTTTCCTTTTATTCAACCCTATTTTCTTTTACTATCGCTTTCTAATTTTCATCTATCCAAATTGAATATAATAAGGGGACCACTAAACCCACAAAAATACCACATTTTCAAGAGTGTAAATCGTATGCTTAGAAGAAAATGTGTTTAATCTCAACCTCATTTCGATCTAATCCTCACAACAATCACTATCACAAGTAAGCACAGGTATCCTGGGACCTGAAATAATTGTTCGCCTGTATAGTGTCCATAAGGCAACTAACTAATAACTATAAATCTATCACCACCAATAAATAATTGTGCGTCTGTGCAGTGTGCTTAAGACAACTAACTAATAACTATAACTTTTTATCACAACCAATAAATAATTGCGTGCCTGTGCAGTTTGCGTAAGACAACTAACTAATAATTATAAATCTATCATCATCAATAAATAATTGTGCGCATATGCAGTGTGCATAAGACAGCTAACTAATAACAATAAACCAATCAATTAAAGAGTGCGAAATTTTCACAGGCACAAAATAAAAAATGAAGAGAGCAGTTTACTAGAGAACAGAAAACTGCAGCTTCTTTTACATTAATTGTTTATATAGCTACTAAAATTTGATGATTACAGATGACAAAAATATGTGGAGATGAGGTGACTATATATATTATAGGAGGCTGACCTTATAGTACTGAAGAAGTAGTGCAACTTTTAGGTTATATGTGGCATCCACTATCATATATAGTTTTGTCTTTCACTCTTTATATTAACTACACTACACTTTGTGTTTGTTTTTTTTTGGGAGGCAGTGATTGGTTGATCATTGCTACAGAATACCTGTGCAAATTAATAGAAAAACCATTAATTTTTGTTTTGTTAAAGCCCGCTCTTAATTTCCATGTGTTTGTATATTCTGATGGCAAGTGCTTTGACAGTATTATTAACTGAAATTCTAGCTGAGCCAACTTCAAATAACATCAATAATGGTGGTATGTATCTTCATATAAAAATAAAATATATAAAAAACCTTAATTTGGCACTTTTAAGTATGAGCATAATTTAGAGATTGAAAAAGTTAATTATTCCCTCAAAGGCTCAACCCACTAGAAGGGATCCTTAATTATCGTAGGAATGAATGTGAAAATGTAAAAAATTATGAGGAAAAGGGGTATGGTTGTTGCTGTTGTGCGATTGGAGTGGAAATAGGGAGAGGAAAAAAAAAAAAAAAAAAAAAAAAAAAAGGTTACCTGCCATAGATTATGGACTCGATCGCCATGAAAGACACATGTAGAAAGGCACACATTTATTAAAATACTAAGAGAACCATAATATATTCATTCAACTTTTGATAGCCATCACACACTGACACACACACACACAAAAAAAATACTAGTTTGGAAGCTACTTTTCACCATTGGAACAAAGGTAAAGGTCCGAATCAAACGAACCAAAGTTAGAACAAATCAAATGATGAGATGAACGAAAGAAAGAAACATATATAAAAGATCGATTCATGCAAAAGGAGAGAGAAGAGAGAGAGAGGATGAACATACCTTGTCACCTGAGGCGATAGCGGAGGCTGCGCCCTGCGGAGTGTCGAAGCAGATTGTGTCGTCTGAAACTTGCCCTAACTTAATACTCCGTATTTTTATTTTTCCATTCCTATGGGCCTCAAACCAAGACTTGTCTTAACTTAAATTTTTTTTTTTACATCCTCGATGGGCCTCAAAATTTTGAGGCCCTCTAAAATTTCAAATTTGAGGCTCAAGGCCACCTCCTTGGTCGCCTTGGGCCAGGGCCGGCCCTACTCCAATTGCTATTTTTCTTCCTTCCACTAGAATTACATTTGTTGTTGAATTAATGGGCTCTGCGTAAGACCCGACCGAACCCAAATAAAAAATGGTACAATTGTTTAAGGCCCAATTTATAGCAACCCACTATTAGGATCACGTATTGCGGGCTGTCCAACTAAATCAGTGTGGACTGACCCAAAGTTTAAACTCAATTACATTATACATATAATAAATAATTAAAGTAATGTTCATTTACCAAGAATTGT